AAAAAAAATGTCAACCTGCTTGACAATTTCTAACTACCTGCAGGAAAAGACTGCAAGTCGACCACAGATATGAAAATTTTAGAGAGGATTATTTACTTGCAGATGCATTTGACAATACTCAAGCTTTCTAAACATGGTGATGCTGTTTTTTAGATTTACAGTGTGTAGATACAAATTCAAATCACAGTTATTCCCAAGTTGCATATCACTATAAAAAGTAAATGCAAGGCATGACTTTCATGATCATGAGAAAAATGTCAACAAAAAAAGGGATTGATGTTGCTCGATCTACTGTTTTTGTTGCTGCGCTGGTTTCTTTTTTTGTCAAGTTTAAATTCATGACATCCTCTTCAATTAGAGCTCTTGAAAGTTGCACCCCAAACATGCTTCAGTGGCATGCAACAAAGCCTGATGAGTTTTGCTTCATTCCCCCACTTGAAGTCCTTGATAGAGAAGATTTGGTTTTAGAGTTTTTCTAGCTCTAGCAGTGGGTTAGACTCTTGCGTGTTTATTACAGGTCAGTACAGAGAAGAAAAAAAGAGACAGGACAGGCTCGAAGGAGGTTAAAAGCATCGATTTCATCCACTACAGTTAAAGAGGTTAGTTGAGAGAAAATGCAGTTTCTCATTTTCCAGGTCAAGTAAAACAAGGACAATGCAAAAAATCACAGTCAAATAACAAAGGAGACAGCTGGTGACCATGTAATCGTGGCTGTGTAATCAGTGCAGTGTGCGATATCTGTGTTGTTCTGTGTATGAGATTATATGAATGAGACCATCGGAGCATTGGAGAGCTTGTCATCATTAAGACCCCCAGCATGGATAGCTGTGTTATAGCATGCTCTCTGTGCCTGGCCAGACACAGATGTGTACAACTCAAGGCTACAGATGTCAATGAGAAACCACATTGTCACTAGCCTTCATCAACTACAGCAGAAATCTTGGGTTATGGCAACAATGCATTGGAAATATCAGCAATTGCATTGAGAAAACCAACAAACTCAGATGAAACGACATCTATTTGGGTAAATCAAATGCTGACTCAAGCTTGACCAGCTTATCAACACTGCTCAGCAACAAATACTAAATGAGGTACTAAGTACCTTGTAAATTAATCTGTTAAACATGCTACAAACACAAATCATGCAAAAGCAGCATACAGAATAAACCAAAGAAAAGACCTCCAATTTAAATTAAAGACCCCATAAAAAATGGTGACGGCGTAGTTTGATGTCAACTCTACGATGTAAAAGACATCCAAATATAATGATTTTTGCAAAAGTAAGTAAATTTAAATAAATATTTGCACAGACCCATTTATACTGTGTGAAAAATATTAAAATTAAGTGTCATATTATGAAGTCAAAATGAAACAACTGACTCGTATATGGTAACCTCTAAAGCAAAAAACTTTTATATCAAATAAAATATCATATACATTTTTTACTTTATCTCAAATTAAGTTGACGATGGACCTTTTTTGTCTACTCCCAAAATATTACAGATAAATATATAACCCTGAAGAATGATATTTAATTTAATTCAAATCTTTTTTTATATATATTCACATTAAAACATTTAATACATATTTTAAGTTAAATTACAGTTCTAAAACATACAATTGTCAAATCATTTATTTTCTCTCAAAAAAGCTCCCATTTTGATTTCATGGAGTCTTTAACTGGTACATGGCAAACCAATGCCTTACACAACAATGGATTTCATAAAAACACAGATACCATTTACCAATTATAAGCCGAATTGGTATTTTTCTGCTGATGCTGTTTTGCAAGGTTACATCTCAAATCTATGAGAGAGAAATAAAAATTTGAATAAGAAATTCTCGCTAATTCTTGCTGCATCAAACTGAATATGTATATCATTCCATATCAGCGATGGGCCATCTGCTATCTCAATCCAGACAGAGTGGATTCAGTTACCATGCAAAGAGGTTCAGCCATGCACTGGGAGAAGTGTTTCTCTCTCACACACATACAGACACACAAAAGTCTCAAGTTGTCAGAGCTAATAGTGCAGAATTAGTGCTGGTTGGACTTCAGGAGAGCAAGTAGAAAACTAGGGGCCCGTTTTACTCAGTTCATCAAATGGCACATCTCTCCCCTCAGTCTAAAGAAAGTTGTTAACAAAATTTGGAAGGACAATTAAGGTCTAACTGAAACGAAAGAACAGGTCCTCTTATAAACAACAGAAAAAACAAGAATTATCAAAGAGATTCAGCCTTACCAGTCTCTGTTGCTCAAGCAGCTGGTCCGCTTCTTCCTTCTCTTTTTTGTACAGGATCTCCATTTCTGTAAGCCTGATATAATACAGTGCGAGACCACTGCATCAAAAAGCTGCTCTTTCTTACAACTCACTGCATTTCCTTTCCACAACATAATCCTAAAAATCCTTCTTACAATAATCCAATTCATATGTGCTCACATTCCATACCAAGAGCTTAAACTTCACAAAATGTAGATTTTGTCTTCGGTAGCTGCTGGGTGGCCCCAGCTATGGTTGGCTATCCAACCCTAAACTATGTATTAACTGGAATCCACACTTCCTTTGAAAGAATTTTGCGAGTTTGAATACAAGTTAAGCTCTACCGACAGCATATATATAGTATTATGTCAATTACCACAGAAAATAATTGACAGAAATCATAAAAGAAAATAAAATAAAAGAAATTATATTTACAGTAAGACAATAAATGTTCAAATGCATGTACATGTATGTGTTAACCAGAAACCAGTGTAAACATTTACTATTACTTGCCTGAGTCAAAACCATATAATTCTTGTAGTGATCATGGAGTTGTCGTTTAATAAAATCTGATGATTTTTAGGGCTTTCGTACCTCTTCTCCATCTCTTGCTTCATGTCGATACCCTGTTTCTCCAGAAGTTCTCTTTGGGCGAATGTCCAGTCCACTGGCTCTACGGGGGTCTCTGCTGATGGTGTCTTCTCACGCTCAGCGCGAGCCTGCTCAGGGTGGTTAAACCGGAACACGTGGTTCTTTCCCATGATAATGCGGTTACCTGAGGAATCAACAGGTTTGTACACACTGGAACAACATAATGGCCTATCAATGTATTGTCCAACTTGAATATGCAAGGCTTGTGATGACAGCCATTTTCGGTTCTTGTAGCTGTACAAAGTCCATTATGCTGCCTGATTCTGGCATTTGTTATCACATTAATGCATTATCGTAATCATAAACACACTGGTCTGTAGCACAAATAGTTTTAATGTTTAATGCATTTTGTTATTCTTCTAGTTATTTACCTACAGAGGCTAATGAGACACATTCACAGGAAATAGCTTACCTTCGCATTGAAAACTAAAGTGAATAGTTCCCAGATTAAAATGTTTAATTTGTTTTGTTTTGTTTTTTTCTACAGTACAATCAACCACATTAAACCAGAGCTTAAAAACTGCAGAAATGAAATGTGCAGGCAGCTGTCAGTGAGTCACCTGAGCGCAGTTGGACTGCAGAAATCACACGTTTTCCATTCACATATGTTTCAGATCCCTCACATGGCTCCAACATGACAATCACTGCAGAGACAGAAGACAATTCACTACCTCCAGCAGAAAAGCATAATATCAAATGCTCACTGAGTAAAAGCGTAAAGAACAAAGAAATAATCTTTGACAGAAAAGTTCGTTCATTTGCACTGATTTATAAGCGTTTAACGGCTGAGACGTGAACCGAACACAGTTAAACTGATCTAAAGATGTAAGTGAGCTCTAACCATCTCCGTTGGCATTCCTCTCACTGCGGAAGATACAGTGCTCCTCTTTGATGTGCGCTCCACTTAGAACAATATCCTGTCTTCTTTCTGCATCTGCTTGGCCCACCCTGTCAAAACAAAGACATGTATTTTAATTAACACAGCGATATTCTGACATCCACATCACAGAAACATAACCAAGCATAATGCAACAAGTTTTTAGTGACAAGCCAATTTTCTCACAGCAAACATAAAACTGCTACATGATGTGACACGAGAATTACAGCCAGTTATATTTTATGTTTAATGAACATTATGAGGAACAGGATTTTGGAACAATGAAAATTAGTCTGTAGGTTGAACATTGCCCATAATAAGAAGTCTATTTTAAATGGCGAAGTAGACAAATTCAGGACAGAAAAATCCTTACATCAAAGCAGTAAACAACATCATGTCCTTTGTAGGACCCTTGACTGGTTGGATATGTAGCAATCATAAGATGCCTCAGTGCAACATACAGACAAGAGATTTCTGACAGTTCTGGAAGTGATTTCATACCTTGTTATTCCATCTTTGATATAATAAAGCAGACATTCTGACATCAAAGGATCCTCATTCAGGTTCACCAGGTGAGGGG